TTTTTGTTTCAGGTTTTACTAATAAATATTTTTTCTGTTTCAGGTTTTACTAATGAATGTTTTTTCTGTTTCAGGTTTTAGTAATGAATATTTTTTCTCTTTCAGGTTTTACTAATTAATGTTCTTTCTGTTTCAGATTTTACTAATGAAAGCTTTTTCTTTTTCAGTTTTTACTAATAAATGTTTCTTCTGTTTCAGGTTTTACTAATGAATATTTTTTCTGTTTTAGGTTTTACTAATGAATGTTTTTTCTGTCTCATGTTTTTCTAATAATTAATTTTCCCTTACTTGTTTTAATAATAAATAATGTTTTTTTCTTACATGTTGTACTGAGTGTGTTTTTCTTATTGCTTACTAATAATGAATTTTTTCCTTACATGTTTTACTAATGAATGTCTTTTTCTTACTGGTTACTAAGAATGTATTTTTTCGTGTTTTACTAATTAATGTTTTTTCTGTTTTAGATTTTTCTAATTATTGTTTTTTCTGTTTCAGGTTTTACTAATGAATGTTTTTTCAGTTTCAGGTTTTACTAATGAATGTTTCTTCTGTTTCATGTTTTATAAATAAATATTTTTTCTGTTTCAGGTTTTACTAATGAATGTTTTTTCTGTTTCAGATTTTACTAATGAATGTTTTTTCTGTTTCATGTTTTACTAATAATTAATTTTTCCTCACTTGTTTTAATAATTAATGTTTTTTTCTTACATGTTTTACTAATGAGTGTGTTTTTCTTACTGCTTACTAATAATGAATTTTTTCCTTACATGTTTCACTAATGAATGTCTTTTTCTTACTGGTTACTAATAATGTATTTTTTTCGTGTTTTACTAATTAATGTTTTTTCTGTTTCAGATTACTAATAATAATTTTTCTATTTCAGGTTTTAATAATAAATATGTTTTTCTTTCAGGTCTCCCACAGTACAAAAATATTTCGGCAATATTGAAAATATTTCAACTATTGCTGTAATATATTTTGTTCTGAGGCGTGGTTAGGCCTAATGCACATTTTGACCACAATTACAAATTGAAAAAAATTATTTTTAAATTGTAATTGAACAAACTGTACAATAGGGAAGCACGTTAAAGAGCGTGTCTAATGTTCCACCTCTTGGGTGATGCGGAAGAGAACATAATTAATTTTTTGGATTTTGAAAAACTAATATCAGATTCGTAATCAGCTACCCCAAAAATCCCCGAGTAACATGTTTCAGGCAAATCCGCCGAATTAAAATTAATAAGTCCACCATTTTGAATTTTGAAAACGGACTTCAGTTTCGTAATCAGCGACCTCGAAAATTTAAGTGCACACAGTTTTAAAAATTTTGGTGGTATAAAAGTTTCTTAACATTTTGGACCCACTTTTAAGATTTTTCTCCTCACAACGAAGGGGTTAAAAACCAAAATGTTAGAAAATGAAAAAAATTCTGAAAATGTAAAGAAATAGAAAGTCATAGAAAACAAGAAATTAAAAAAAGCGAGAATTTGAGGAATTCAATATTCAATAAACAAGAAACAAAAAAAAACGATAATTTGTGAAAAACTTGATCTTTCTGTCCCGTTTGTAATAATTAATAACTTTTATAGAAATTTCCAAAGAAACGAAAATTTGATGATAAAGAATAGAATTTTATGAAAAAAAGAGAAATTGTAGTAAAAAAATTATATTTTTACTGAGAAAATTCCTAGTTTAACAATATAATAATTACTTATTTATATTTATTTAGATGACTAAATTATTATTGTCATTCAAACATTAAAGTCATGTGATTGTTATAATTTCACATGAAAACATTCTCCGCATTTTTTTTCTCAAAATACTTGATAGATTGAGCTAAAATTTTGTGAAGAACTCAAAACTAGTATAAGGATTCGTTGTCATGTGAAAGATTATATTAATATTTTGTCAAAAAATTTATTCTCAAAAAATTGCTTTTTTCAAATTTTAAAAAATAAAAGTAATTATCACGGTAAGGATACAATAATTAACAATAATAAAATTAAAATTATATTTTTATCATCATTTATAATTGATAACTCAAATATTAATTAAATGAACATTGTTAAAGCAGACTTACAATGTTTGCTCATTAGCTTGTGTAAATTATATGAAATATTAAATTTAATTTTCAATTAATGATTTCGTATCTATATAATTTGACGAATATATATATATCAATTATTTTATTATTAAATACTATTGACATACAAAATTAATAGATTGGTAAAAAGAATAATATAAAGTACCTATATAAGAAAAAGTAAAATTTCAGATATATCTAAACAAAAATTGAAAAGTATGTTATGGTGAGCAATTTTTATTTTTTCATACTTCCAACAAACTAAAAGAAAATAATTGATAATTTTCTTTATGGTATTTTAAAATTAAGTAAAATTTTAGAAAAAAATTTCAATAAAAAAGAACTAAAACAAAAAAGAACTAAAACAAAAAAGTTCGAAAACATTTTATGAAACGAAAAGACTGAAATTCTTTCCCTTAACCCCTTGAGTGTCGACGAGATTTCCACTATTTGGGCCAAAAGTGTGTTGAAAAAAATTTTAATGAATTTTTATGAAACTTGGTATCTTAAGGTTTTCAGGGTCGCTGATTACGAACCTAAGGTCGGTTTTTCAAAATTCAAAATGGCGGATCCAATATGGCGGACGACAATTTGAAAATATAATGCAATTCGCTTGAAAATGGGTACTCGGGGGTTTTTGGGGTTGCTGATTACAAATCCCATGTTAGTTTTTTAAAATTCAAAATGGCGGATCCAATATGGCGGACCACAATTTGAAAATATAATGTAATTCTCTTAAAAATGGGTATTCGGGGGTTTTCGAGGTCGCTGATTACTAATTCGATGTTAGTTTTTCAAAATTCAAAATGGCGGTTCAATATGGCGGACGACAATTTGAAAGTGTAATGCAATTTGCTTGAAAATGGTTAGTCGGGGGTTTACAGGCTCGCTGTTTACGAATCTGAAATCAAAATTTTTAAATTTCCAAAATTCAAAATGGTGGATCCAATATGGAGGAAAAATTTTCAAAATTAATCAGATTAATTAATATTGGATCCGACATTTTGAATTTTGAAAATCTGATGTCATATTCATAATCAGCGACCCCGAAAACCCCTGAGTAACGAGCTTCAGTCGAATCCGATCAATTTTGAAAAATTTTCCGCCATAATGGATCCGCCATCTTGAAGTTTAAAAAACTGATATCAGTTTCGTAATCAGCGACTCCGAAACCCCCTGAGTAACCATTTTAAAGCGAATTGTATCATATTTTCAAATTGTCGTCCGCCATATTGGATCCGCCATTTTGAATTTTGAAAAACTGACCTCAGATTCGGAATCAGCGTCTCCAAAATCCCCCGAGTAACCAGTTTCAAAAATATTTGAGATGTTTTTCATCACTTTTTTTAAGTTGCGCATATATGAGAGATTCTTTTTCAATCGCCCCAGCCCAAAAAGTCAATGTTCTGGGATTGGCTTCATACTTTGGTAAATTGTTGTCCTATATGATAGTAATAAATCCCTAAAATATAAATTAATTAAAAAAATATTTGTAGAAAGTAGAGGGGGTTGAAGTTTTGACGTTAAGGGTAACATTGTCATTTTCAAATCCGTATAACTATGACAAAAGTTAATGGATTTTAATTTATCTATAATGAATTTTATTGCATTTTTCACGTACTTTTCAAAAATGTATACAAAATTTAAAAAAAAATTTTTTGACCCCTTTTTTTTCAAAATAAACCCTTATTTTTCGATTTTCACCCCTTCGGGAATTTTTTTTTGTTTTTTTTTTTATTTTCATTGGAAAGCTGAGGTTTTTTCCCATGAGCTATGTAAATATGAAAATGGGACAACAATAATTTTGTGAGAAACATAATATTAAATTAGGCAGTGCCTATCTAAATCCTCAAAGATGATCTCCAGGTACACCCCTTATCGGCACCGCCTACTTTAATATTCTGTTACTCACAAAATTATTGTTGTCCCATTTTCATATTTACATAGCTCATCGGAAAAAACCTCAGCTTTCCAATGAAAATAAAAAAAAAAAAAAAAAAATACCCGAAGGGGTGAAAATCGAAAAATAAGGGTTGATTTTGACAAAAAAGGGGTTAAAAATTTTTTTTTTTAAATTTCATATACATTTTTGAAAAGTACATGAAAAATGCAATAAAATTCATTATAGATAAATTAAAATCCATTAACTTTTGTCATAGTTAAACGGATTTGAAAATGGCAATGTTACCCTTAACGTCAAAACTTCAACCCCCTCTACTTTCTACAAATATTTTTTTAATTAATTTATATTTTAGGGATTTATTACTATCATATAGGACAACAATTTACCAAAGTATGAAGCCAATCCCAGAACATTGACTTTTTGGGCTGGGGCGATTGAAAAAGAATCTCTCATATGCGTAAAGAGCACTTTTGACCAGTTTTAGTTTTACGCATATATGCTTCAGCGACAGGCAACGGGTTAATACAATTTTCTTTCATTTATTAAAGAATAATTTTAATAAGAAAAGAATACTCATGACTCAATACCCAATCAATTTTTTCTCAAAATTAAGAAAAAGAATCTTTATTTTATAAAATAAAATAAAAATTAAAAAAAATTTTTTAATAATTGTCATATTACAAAATTTTTACTTAACAGTATTTCTTTTTTAAACCAATTTTATTTTCTCGAAATAGAATAGAAATTCTGTTAAATAAAAATAATCTGGCTAATTTAAAGATTGAACAAATAAATTCCAATAAGTAGATGTTATGTTTTAAGAAAATTGTACTAAATTAGAATTTTGTCAAATGAAAATTGGATTCAATAAAAATTCTACTAAATTTTTTTTTTATTTTGTGTAGTTTTGATACCGACTCTATATGCGTGCCAAATTTTTTCTTCAGTTTAGTATTTTCTTTCATAATAAAAAAGAAATGAAAAGAAATTATTTAATGAAATTAATTAACTTGCCTAAAAATACTTCCTTCGCCTTTTCTAAAAGATTTGAAACTTCCTGATCAGGGGAATCAATTATGCCGAAATCAATTTGTTGAATATGAAAAGCTACATGATCCTTGCTGAGAAAAGTTTTGCCTGTAGGGCTAGGCCAAATTAAACGTGTATTCCCACCACATGTGGCTGCACATGTTGCTTGAGTTGTTCTTGATGATCTAACAGCCCTTCTTTCACATCTCCCTTCATTACACACCCATGACCAAGGACTACGGAATGGTCTGAAACAAAAAAAATTTATCAGAAATATATACAAACAGACAATATTATTGCGCAGTCATATTTGAAATTTAAGTACTATTTCGGTGTTAAAATCGATAAAAAGCAATTTAAATAAATTTCAATTCAAGCCAAGGACGAAATACATCGATTTATTTCACAAATAGAATGTACGACTTCAATAATTAGCAATGGCAATTAAGAACGACGATTTTAATTTTTAATTATGCTATACGATTTTTAAAAATGTGGTAAAAAAACCTATTTTAAGTAATTGATTCTAAAGGGCTTTTTTAAATTTTTTTAACATATTTTCTGAATTGGAATTCTTTGAAAAGATAATTATTTTTGTTCTGTTTGTGTAACATAGTAATTTTTAGTTACTATTAATCATGAGAAATAACAGTATTATTTTTTTTAGAACAAGAGGAAAGTAATATTTTTAAATCCTTTAGTGTCATGTGACAACAGTTATGTGACCTCAGTTACATAAAACAATTGTAATCAAAAGATGACAGGCAAGAAAATGATAAAATAAAGTAGAAAAAAATGTTCTACCAATTAATTTACAACTATCTATTTTTCAATAAGAAATAAGTTTTTTATATTTCTTTCTTTTCGTATATAATGTACCATAAAAACGGAGTAAAGTCGTTCATGTATAGAGATAAAATCGCTCAACAGTACACTGAAAAATAATTTATTTGATTCAAATAATCGGTTACTTCACTATTATAAAATAAATAATTGTTATTAAATAATTATTATTTAAGTCAATTAAATGCTATTTATTTCAAATAGAGAAATAATTGGTTCAAATCAAGTTTATTTAATACAAATAAAAATTATTTAGTTCAAGTAAATATTTATTTAACAATACACGGAGAGAAGAGATTTAGTCTATTCTACTAAATACGTTTAGTCCAGATTCTACTAAACAGCGTAGTCTGAGGGACTACTATAGTTCTGTCACACAAAAAAATTTACCGACAGAATAAAACTGCACAAATCTAATTGGTTGTCCACAATTAACTAGATTGCGGACAACCAATCAGATTTCTACATTTCGTTTCTGTCGGTAAATTTTTTTCTATCGATAATCGTGTAAATTTTTTTACTAAACAGTATCGTTCATTTAACTGAATGTTTAGTCCGTCCAAAATGAACGATACTGTTTAGTAGATTTAACTGAGATAGTAGTAAGATCTACTACGCCCTTCTCTCCGTGTAGTCAAGTAACCGATTATTTGAATCAAATAAATTTTTTTCAGTATAATTTTGCGTTTTATTAAAATAAATAATTTTTCTTCATACCTCGGTCAAAAGTACGTATCTCCCGCATCGATTTCGCAACAGAAAGTCGAATATTTGTGCATTGGTCGATGCACAAGCTCGCCCTCTATAACAGCGGGTGCAAAAGTTGTTAGCTGCTCTGTATTACCGGCAGAGAATTCAAAGCGCGAGTGATCCAGACGATTGACATTAAACAAAAATTTATGTAACAAATACATAAATTGTATATTTCATAAAAATATTATAAATAATTTTTACTTACAAACAGATTTTAAAAATAATTCATACAATTAATAAATAAAAAAAAACTTAATTACTTTTGTTATTCATGGTACAAGAAATAAATAAAAAATTGCAAAAATTGACTATTTCTTTTAAAAAATGTGTAGCTATATATTTGCCTATTCACATATGAGCCGCCGGAAAGTAAAAGGGCGCATAAAATTTGTACGGCCGTTCGAGTTGGCCCCTGACGCTTGAAAAATCGATTTAAAAAAAAAAATTTTTTTTTATTACTACATTACTGGAAATTTTATTCCGCATCTTTTTTCTTCTATGAAAAAAATCTCTATTTTTTTCGGTTTTCGAGTAAATCGAAAAAAACTGGATTTTTAAAAAACACAAATTTAATTAAATTTTTCACTTCAACTCGCTCTAAAAAACAAAGTTATAAATATTTTTTGACAAAATTTACAGAAATTATAGTTTAAACTATTCTTAAGACGACAAACTTTGTATGAATGTGATTTTTTTATTTCGAAAAAAGTTATGAATTTTTTTGTTTCACAGTGACAAATTTACGTTTCCAAATTTTCAAGGGCTTCGTTTATCTGAAAAATTTTCAGTCAGTGAAAACTTATCCCGAAAAAAATGTTCACTAGGGTCTTACAAACATTTTTGTAAAATATTTTTGCAATTGGAATAGCCGTTTACGAAATATTATTGAAAAACTATTTTTCGTCAAAAGCGCGCGAGTCAAAAACTTCCCGTTTGTGTAGAGCCGGCTAGTACTCAGCGATGGCTGCCAAGGTCGTTTATGTTTACTCGCGCGCGTTTGACGAAAAATAGTTTTTCAATAATATTTCGTAAACGGCTATTCCAATTGCAAAAATATTTTACAAAAATGTTTGTAAGACCCTAGTGAACATTTTTTTCGGGATAAGTTTTCACTGACTGAAAATTTTTCAGATAAACGAAGCCCTTGAAAATTTGGAAACGTAAATTTGTCACTGTGAAACAAAAAAATTCATAACTTTTTTCGAAATAAAAAAATCACATTCATACAAAGTTTGTCGTCTTAAGAATAGTTTAAACTATAATTTCTGTAAATTTTGTCAAAAAATATTTATAACTTTGTTTTTTAGAGCGAGTTGAAGTGAAAAATTTAATTAAATTTGTGTTTTTTAAAAATCCAGTTTTTTTCGATTTACTCAAAAACCGAAAAAAATAGAGATTTTTTTCATAGAAGAAAAAAGATGCGGAATAAAATTTCCAGTAATGTAGTAATAAAAAAAAATTTTTTTTTTTAAATCGATTTTTCAAGCGTCAGGGGCCAACTCGAACGGCCGTACAAATTTTATGCGCCCTTTTACTTTCCGGCGGCTCATATTGTCTCGATGCCTGCCCCCGACCAGCAGCACTCGCTTTGCTCGTGCAGCAAATGTCGGGGCAGGCATCGAAAAAAGAGAGAGACAGAGAAAAAGTCAGAGCTTAGAGAGTGTCCGATAGAGGCGTTGAAGCGAAAAGCAAAAGTAATGATGGCCGCCTGTCAATTGGAATACGAAATTGAAATGTTTTGAATTAGTCAATTGTTGTGCGTACTTTCGACCGGATATAAAGAAAAATAGTATACATTACACGGGCAAAAATTTCGACATCCCCGCACCGCGGGAAATGATGCCCGAGGCGAAGCCGATGTCGAACTTTCTTTTTGAAAGAGGAGCTAACTTATTCGATCGATTTTACCCAACATAAACGACTTTTGCAGAATATTTCAATTAAAAATAGTTACATTTATTTAGAAAATATACGTCGGTAAAGTTTATAACGATGTAGAAGAAAAAAATATTTTTATATGCAAATTATTATAATTTTTTATCTAAAAAATTTTTTACAATGTTTCTTGATCAACAATTTTTGGAAGAAAAATTTATAAGCAAAAAATTAATTATTATTTTTCTAGTGAAGACAAATTTTTTTTTATTTCAATCGTTAATCATAAACGTTGTGAATTGCACCGACGTGAAAATATTGCAAGAGTTTCAACATTGAAATAAATAAAAAGAAGCTAATGAAAGTGTATTAGCTTATCTTGGTTGCGTTATTTTTTTTTAAATTATAATTAAAAATTTGCTGTAAGGTATATGAAAAAACATTTACGTTGAGTTGCTAATGAGATATTGCTCTCTTTTTTTTAGCATGAGTTTAAAACAACTTTTTTACAGTACTGTCGTGCAAAGCAAAAAATTTGTTTTTAAGTTGATTTTCGGTTACACGACTACGGTAAATACCTAAAAGCAAATGTCAGTTATAGGCTTTTTTACTTTTGCACAGCAGGGGTATGTGTTTTACAAGTTTTACTCGAAAATTTTAAAAACATAAAATCTATTACTTTGCAGGGTAAAAAAGTCTATAACTGACATTTGCTTTTAGGTTCTATTTCCCCTAGTTATGTAACTGAAAATTAACTTAAAAATAAATCCAGTTTAAAACTTTTTTTTTTGTTTAACATGTCAGAAAAAATCTTTTTTTTTATTTGTATTCTCACTTATAAATAAATTATATTCGTGTACAAATTATACAATTATATGTTATCGTGTCTGAAAAAAAGGGTAATCAGGTTGTGTACAAATCGATCTTTGAATTCCCGGTTTAAGATAATAAAGTTTTTTCTTACTATAATTATATTATAAAGCAAATAATACCTTCAATTTTAATGTACTAGCGCCTCCTGCTTTCTTAATTTCAAAATATTAAATTTAAGTTGATTTTCAAATTTTTTAATTAATGAAAATAATAAGTTACTTTCTAATATAATTTCCAACTTGAACAACATATACCTATTATATAATAAATTTTAAATAATCAATTCAATTTTTATGCAATTCATTTGTAATTATATTTTGTATTCATGAAAAATTGCAAAATGATTTATTTTTAACAATATAGTTAATTAGTTAAAGCCAGTTAAAGCTTACAATCAGCTGTGTAAGGGAACGGTAGGCTTTGAAGTAGAACATTCCTAGTTAAAAACATTTCAACCAATCTCTTTCATGCATTTCACATTAGCCATACCGACCGTTGATACAGTTGTCTTTTCACATAGAACACGATTTTATAAAAATTTTATTAATTTCACTATTTTAGGTATTTCATTTCCCGGTTTGTAGACACCCTGGTAATAAAATAAAAATTAATTAAAAAAAGCGCGGTGAAACTAGCGAGCCGCCAGCCGGCAGACAGCAGACAAAACCATAGGCGTCGACGCTACACTAAACGCCACCACTAGCAAATTGGAGCTGCTGGCTATTAATTTTTACAAATAAAAAACCTGCTAATAAACATTCTAAGAAGGTTTTCCAAAAAGAAAAATAAAAATACATTAATAAATAAATTTTTTTAGTCAATTTAGTGAAAAAAAACCAAAAAAACGACTGTCTGCTACAAGCGGCTGGGGCTGCTGGCTATTAATTTTTCCCAAAAAAATTCTTGCAAATATAAAACTTGTTAATAAACATTTCCAGAAGATTTTCCAACAAGAAAATCAAAAATTCATTGAAAATTAAATTTTTTGAGTCGGTTTTAGTGAAAAAAACCAAAAAAACGACTGTCTGCTACAAGCGGCTGGGGCTGCTGGCTATTAATTTTTCCCAAAAAAATTCTTGCAAATATAAAACTTGTTAATAAACATTCCCAGAAGATTTTCCAACAAGAAAATTAAAAATTCAGTTTTTTATTTGTAAGAATTTTTTTTGGAAAAATTAATAGCCAGCAGCTCCAGCCGTTTGTTAGCAGACAATAGTTTTTCATTAATTATTATTGTTTGATTATGTAAGTGTAAATTGTTTGTTAACTAATCATATTTATGTTAAAATATGTTCATGTAGTATCATAATGTAATGTGTGAATCATTTGAACTGTTTTTATTTTTGTTTAAACGTTGCTACCCAATTTGCTAGTGGTGGCGTTTAGTGTAGCGTCGACGCCTATGGTTTTGTCTGCTGTCTGCCGGCTGGCGGCTCGCTAGTTTCACCGCGCTATTAAAAAATATTGAAAAATAAAAATTAATTAAAAAATATTGAAAATAAAAAAAAAATGTTAACCTACTTGTTAAATTTTTTATTATTTTGTTTTAATAATTGTGGAAAAATTGTTATTTTATAAAAGTTGGAAAAAATATAATGATAAAAATATAACATAAATGAAACTAAAAATATGAAATTCAGTCTTTTACGTAAAAAGGAAAAACTTCTATGTATAGTGTTTTATTATATACATCTGGATAAATTGAATATTAACAATGCAACATTGTTGTCAGTTGCAATAGACGTGGGATGAAATGGTAATGAATTATGATTATATAACTGCTTTCTGCTTACCTTCGAACAGTAAAAGGTTGAAATGAAGAAAGAGGTGGTGAGTTAGCAAACATGGCGATGAGAAGTACCCCAGTAATCAGAACAAGAAAGAAGAGGACTCTTCTTATCCACCCGCTGGGCACTCCACCCACCATTCTCGCGAACCTTTAAAACAATTCATTTTTCTTTTTTTTATTACTATATAGTTTATAATTAAATGAAAAGAAAAATGAACTTGAGTTCAAATATTGTTTTAATTATCTTATATAATTAATTGTTATAATTATATAACATATTTATATAGTTCTGAATTATTTTCAACAATTGTTATAATTTACAATAAAAGCAAATTAAAAAAAATTTTAATCTATTTAAAATTATTCAATTTTAACTCAAAAATTTTTCTGAAAATTAAAATTAGAATATAATTTTCATAATTGATATAGGATCAAAGAAACATTTATTTGAATTAAATAAAAAATTTCTTTGAAACGAAGATAATTTGTTTGAAACAAATAAATTTTCTTTGTATTAAAGAAAAATTTGTCAAAAAAATTGATTTCTTTGAATCAAAGAAATCTTTTTTCTGCGTATTAAGAGTTAATATTCCGTGTGTATTTTCATTCCAAAACTCACAAACATAATCTAAAATTTTTTTCAGCGTATAAAAATTTCATTATCCATTTATTAGTTAAGAAGGGATCGTACAGACAATCAAATGAAAAGTTAATTCAATTCCATTATATTTGTAATTTTTTATAACAAAAAAATTTAAATCAATTTTTTAATCAAAAAATGATTATAAAATATTTAAGTTATTTATTTAATCAGAATTAATTAATTAATTTTAATTTTATTCTATCTAAAAATTGTTAAAATATTGAGTTGGACTATTTGTATACTTGAATTTTATACTCAACATTTTTTTAATTGAAATTTATAAATATATTTGTTTATTTATTTATTACTATTACTACACATATATATTTTCAAATTTAAATAAAAAATTTAAAGCGGTTGGCTGAACGTAGACATTCAAGCAGTGTCGTCATTATTTTATTGTACTTCTCGAGCTAAAACGGTCCTCGCCGGTTCATTAAATATTAGATACCGTTTCTATAAAAAGAGTAATGGTAGGGTCACTATAAAGAAATCAATGACCGTACAAAGAGTGAGTACAGTAATTACACGAAATTACATAATGTCATTCTATAACGAGATTTAAACATTTTTTTTTTTGCTTCTATTATATCTCCTGTATAAAAGTTTTTTTCGGAAAATAATTTTAATTAAAAATTATAATTAACAACGTATTGATTCTTTACATAATGTAGTTCACTATATATAACCATATGATTCAAATTAATTATTCTAATCAAGTATTATAGTATACGGAGAGAAATCTGTTGCGTTTAGCACGTGAACACCATCAGATGTTATGAATAAAGCATGGATTATATATTAGAGGCGAAAACTACGAATCTACCTGAATATCAGGCCAATCCTCCTGATATATTCAAACCAATCCCAAACAATACCAGCGCTCGCTGTTAGAATTTAAGCACCATCTAAAAAAGCTGAATGGAATAAATGCTAAATGCATAAAAATTTTTGAACAATAATTCTAACATTTTTTCACTCTGTGTTTCTTTTAAACTAAAATATTTTAGACGCATGAATAAGTTCTAAAAAAAATCAATCGTTAAAATTTTCTTTAATTAGAATTTTTTATTTGTTCGAATTATTATTTTGCAGAATTTTCATTAAACCGATTTTTTATATATTACAGAATTTTTATTTGTTTAAATTTTCATTTGTCAGAATTTTTATTTTCTCGAATTTTCATTTAACTTAATAGTTATTTTAATGAATTTTTATTAGGTAGAATTTGATTGCATAGAATTTTCTTTTACATGAATTTCCATTTGTCTGGAATTATTATTTTATAAAATTTCCATATAACCGATTTTTCATACCTCAGAATTTATACTTAACCGAAAAATTATTTAATAGAATTTTCATTTGTCCAAATTAACAATCGACAGAAAGATTTCGGACAAATGAAAATTCTATTAATTAGAAATTCTGCTTTAATCTAATAGAAAATTATATGCAATGATAATTGAAATTCTGCAAAATAACAATTCGAACAAATAAAAATTCGGCTCACTGAAAATTGTATTATGAAATTCTATTTAAAGAAAATTCTAACGATTGATTTTTAGAACTTATTCATGTGTTCGAAATATTTTAAATATTTATGTACAAATAATATTTTACATATTTTTATTTAAATATTAAATTTTTTTTTATAAATACAGATATTTATCTGTCAAAAACTTTACTTTTGCTTTTCATTCATAAGTGTAGAAAATATATATATATATATACGGATTCTAGAAGTCAATTTCCGGTTCAACGAAATGGTTTTTCTTCGTTTTTTTTTGTGTTTAACTATTGAACGAATGATAGATTGCTTTTTTATTTAAACAAATATTTTTCATTTCCTGTAAATGCATTCCTATATGTTCAATGTTTTCTAAAGAGTTTTCTGGTAAAACAATTTACAAATTTCTTAATTTATGAAATTTTAGAGAAGTTCACAAAGTTTATGGTCAACGATTGAAAAAAAATCATATTCTTTATTTGGTAAATTATAAAAATTTTTGCCTTATAAATTATTTTCTTTGAAAAATTGTTGATCGAAAAACGTTATAAAAATTTTTTAGACAAAAAATTATAATAATTTACATATAGAAAAATATATTTTTTTTCTAAATCGTTAATTATCATCGACTTATTTTTAAATGAATCACATTTATAGTTATTAATATTAATTAAATTAAAATAAATTACGTTTTTAAAAAATTTATTAAAATCAATAAAAAAAAAAGCATTAACCCTTAAGCTGTAAACATGGGTCACTCGTGCCTTTTAAAAAGTGACACCTCTTGTTATCTCGGAGGGGGGTCGGTCAAACTATATTGTAAAAAATTGTATACTAATGAGTTACATATGTTCCATAAGTGCCAAAGGTTTAATGCATAAACAGTAGTTACAGTAGTTAGTATTTTGAAACGTGCACGAGTGACCCATGTTTACAGTGAACTGTGCCAAAGTGTGAAATGTTAAGTAAAGTATTTTTTTAAAATTTTGATTTTTTTTCGTTAAATAATTTATTTTTTAGTTCTGATGTTTATTTTTAAATAATTTTTATTTATTTATTTTTTATAAAATGACGTTTTAAGAAAAAAAAAATTTAACGTTAATAAAAATTAAAAAATAATACAATGTCTTTTTATTGTAATTTTTAAACTTAATAAAGATTAAAAAATAATATAATATCTATTTATTGTAATTTGTACCTCTTTTACGTACATTGAAAAAACATTATTTTCATGCTCAAAACTTAAGCATTTCTCTTATTTATAAAGATTTTCAGTATTCTTTCCCTTAAACTATCACTCTTAAGCTTTACTCTCCTATTTGAAATTTTAAAAAATATTGATTTTATTAAAAGTTATGATTTTTTGAAAAAAAACAATATTTTTTTCGTATTTTTGTTTGTTTAAACAAATATATTATTTAAACAAATGAACATTTTAGCAATATAATGATTGGTCCTTAGTTCAGGATAGTTAATGCAACATTATGAATTTTGTCCTATTTTTTAAAGCACTTTTTAAAGCGGCGGACACGAGTGACCCATAATAACCATCTTACAGTCTAAGGGTTAAAGCTTATATGTCTTAATGGTGAATAAATTTTTATTTGTTTCAAACGAAAATTTTATTTATAATAATCAAATTTTTTATTTAAAACAAATAAACAACTATTCAGCTATGAGACAAATATACTATAAAATATTTCATAAAAAAAAAATCATTTTTTTTTTTAAATTATTGATCATGAACGTTATAAAATATACTATTAACGTTTTACTGCAATAAAGATATATCTATATATGAACTTTTTATAAAACGCACGTGATTATGTGTACGACTATAAACGCATTCCTTGTGAAAGGAAAACCCTTCTTTTTATAGCACTCATATAAAAGCAATTTTCTATTTTTAGGAAGATTTCTATAGCCTATCCCCATATCGAGTGTCATGATTCTTCGTAAATTTACTTGAGACAAATATTTTTTTTTTTATGTATTTCAACTAAAATTCTAAAAAGATGGGGGCCGATGAATGATTTTATTCTATTTAGTATATTGTTATTCAAATTGTTTTAAATAACATTAAAAATTCAGTAGTATAAAAATACCAAAAAAATACCGAAAAAAATCTTTTTTTTTTAAAATGAATATTCATTTATATTGAAAAATAAAATGTAAAATTAATTTTTGAACGGAATATTTTTGTAATTTTGAGATTATAATTTTTTTTGTGTATTTAATTTTAATTTTAATTTTTGTAGGTATATTCAATAATTTTCCAACACTTGAAAAAATATTCGTTTCTATTATATGATGAAACATATTATGTCATAAAAAGTTCATGACTCCCATCAATCTAGTGAAAATTAACACTCTTCTTCTTTTATATGAATCCTTTGAAAATTAAAATATATTTCTTACGTAAAGAATGTCAAAAGAATTTCCATTAAATTCATCAAAAACTAATGTAAAAAACTTTTTTTTTCTACTTTTGCAGCTGTTTAAATTACACCTACATTTCTGTTAACGTTTCTATTATAGTTTTTTTTTCATTTTATTCATCAAAAAAAAATTTTATTATTTTAAATTAAATTATTTTTTTTTATCAAAGTCAATTAATTAATTTAAGTTAAATTAAATTTCAAATTTATTTTTTTTTCTACCTGGAATGAATGGACATTCATATTATCTTCACGGAACAAATTTTCTGGAAAACAAACAGTAGATTACAAAAAAAAGAAAAAAAAAAAAATTTACTGAGATCATGAAATTTCGAAAAGAATGAATCGAGCTGGAAAAAAAGATCACACCACGTCTATATAATACAAATACTGTAAAAGAGTTGCATTTCCTTGGAATGCCGGGAGAATTCAATCTTCTAAAAGTATATACTATATGTCGATATTGTCCACGAGAAATTCAACGTCGCCGCAGTAGTAATCTATCCTCGTAAAGATCTTCAAGGAAATGCCATTTTCCTAACACGTATATACCAGTATAT